GATAGATAGATAGATAGATAGATAGATAGATAGATAGATAGATAGATAGATAGATAGATAGATAGATAGATAGATAGATAGGAGACCTTATACATACTTGGAGTATTGTGAGCAGGGGCAGACTAGGAAAACTTAATCTGAAGACTTGAATGTGAAGTGCAAACATGAAAGACAAAATCCTACTGCATAGCAAAAGGATTGTTAGGGTTTTTTTTAATGACTGGTAGAGTAGTGATCAGTGTAACATGCCAGTCAAAGACAGAATTGCAAAGATTCTCAGTTTGAAAGGATTTTTATATGTAAAGTAGCGTTTCAAGGTTGACTCAGCCTTCCCTCCTTCCGAGGTGGGTGAGGACCCACCTTGAGGACCCAGATTGTTGGGGGCAAGAGGCTGACTCTGTAAACCCATTAGAGAGGGCTGTAAAACACTGTGAAGCGCTATATAAGTCTAAGTGCTATTGCTATTCTCAACCTTGACCACTTTAAGATGGGTGGACTTCAACTCCCAGAATTCCCCAGCTGGGGAAGCCTGGGAGTTGAAGTCCAGCCATCTTAGAATGGCCAAGGCTGAGAAACACCTGTGTCAAGAGAGGCAGGGAAGCGGTTCAGAGATCTCTGCAGACACTGAATGGGGAGAGAAGGCCCTGCTTTGCTCCTTTGGGATTCCCTCTCTGATGTGAGGACTACAATGTGCTCTCCTTCCACAGAACCGTCCGCGTCTACAAGGGCAGTAGAAGTTTTGGGTTTACGTTACGTGGCCATGCCCCTGTGTGGATCGAGTCCATCTTGTCTGGTAAGAGGAACCCACATTGGTTGCCAAAGATTTCCATTTCCAAGGCAAACCTGGCAAGGCTGCCCAAACCTCGCTTGGAGTTATTTTAGAAATACCTTTGTGTTCTTCAATGATTGTGAATTCTTCACCAAATTGACTACTTGACACATGTCTTGATCAGAAGCACTCAATTATGTTTTAGGAGTGCGCTTGTCCTTTGAATGAAATCCAGGGGTCACTCCAGCAAGTGAAAGAACAGATTAATTTATATGGTGTTGGTCACTATTTTGACTTTTCTGTCCCCTCCTTTGGGTGCTCCTAATCTACCTGCTGTCACCTCCATCTTCCCTGAGTCTTTACACCGCCTGGGTTCGGGTTGGTGCTGGGCAGGGGTGGGTTTCAACCGGTTTGCGGTGGTCCCCGCGAACCGGTTGGTCAGCGAACCCGGAAGTAAGTAACTTCCGGGAAAGGTGAAGGGCCCACCCGTCCGCCCGCGTTCCTTACCCGGTTT